TTTCTTTGCTGTTCTGACTGAAAACTATAGATTTTAAACCTCTGATAATCTCATCAGATGTATCAGCAATTTTTCGCAAATTAATTGCATTTGCATTAATTACACAAGATTGACCCATGAAAGTTTTTATTAGTGATGTGACAATTTGTTATTTCTTATCATACCTAGATAATAATTTTCCTCAGGCTTCCATATAACTATTTTCTGGAATGCATTGGCGTAGCTAGGGTGGGGCAAGGGGGGACATTTGTCCCCGGGCGCAGCATCCAGGGGGCGCCAAATTGATGCTACGAAATTTTTTAATGGAATGTTTTCCCATTTGGCACACGTAAAGGGGCGCAAATTCTTCAGTTGTCCCCAGGCGCTGGAATCGTAGCTACGCCACTGCTGGAATGGGATTATGTTTAATAATAGAAGCCGGTTCATCAGTTAATAAACCCTTTAGATATTGAAATTTTTGAATGTTGCTTAAATTTTCATTGTTATGCACTAATGATACATATAAGTCCTTGAAGGACATCCAGTTTCTGTAATTACCACTGAAAGATTGCATATTTATTCTCGGCAATTTAAAATTATTAGCAGTATTTGTAGTACTATAACCTGGTATTTGACGTTCATTAACATTAGTAACTTGCATATTAACAGTAACATTTAATTTCTCAAGTTCTTGTTGTAGTTTGGCTTTGGTTTCATAATATTTTCCCTCAAATTCTTCCATTTCAGAACTTTCCGGTGGAAGTTCGGCGTCTGCCTTGTCAAAATCAGAATAAACGCTTTCAATTTTTTGGAGTTTATTGATCAAATCGTGTTTTTCGAATAATTGCTTATCATCATTAATGAAATTTGAAATTCTGGTAAGAGCAGCTTTCGCTCTACCTTTTGCAATTTTAACCTTGTCTTCCGACGACATAATGGTGCAATGAGGAAAACCAAAGTCAAACTTGTAAAAATGAAAAAAATACTTATCTTGCTTGGCCTTTAAATGAAATGCGATGCTAAAAGTATCCAGTAGTATCCAATATTGTACGAATGTAGAGTTGCAATGCTGACGAAACTGAAATCAAAATTCCTTTAATCTCGCCGGTGCCTCCAAAATTTAATGTTGCGACGTAATGTGAATGAACTCCTCGTTTTCAAACACAAAAATTATATTAAATAATATCACAATAAACGTATAAACAAGAAAATGACATATAAAACTTATAAATATGAGAACAGAACAAAAATAGTGAAAAATAGACAGCATTCCAGCTGCCTTGCGAATGTGTTCGTCCGAGTCTGACTGTTCAACTGAATTCAATGTTCTTTGCCATAATTCCAAATGCGAAAGAGTCAGGTTGAGTTGTTCTGTTCCGGTACACCGGAACACGTAGAAGTATTTAAAAGTTTTTCTTTTGGTTTCAAAATTCCATCTTTTGTTCCAATTTTTACCCTGTTGAACAATTACTTTCTTGCCAAGGTACACTGCTCGACATTGAAAATGCAACACCAAGAAGGAGTGGTCAGAAATTTATGCAAATTTTAGAGTAGACCCGCGTCACCGAGTTATGCGAATGATGTGAAATGCGCAGCTCTCCGACACACGTGAAGTAAGATATAAGGGAAGGAACGTGCAGAATGGGCAATATTCGTGTCGTTATTTCTGCCAGACGGATTATCGAAGAAAGTTGGTTTTTGTCCCGGAGGATACGTGTAATAAAAGAGAATGCCAAGCCGCCATCAACGAAGGCACTTCCAGCAGATAGACGATTTTACAAGGGGTATAGTGATCGGACTGAGAAGAGCGGGTTGGTCCTTATGTCAAATCGCAGCTGATACCCACATGGATGCGAGCACAGTGCATTGACTATGGTGAACATGGTTGGAATAAGGAAATGTGGGAAGAAGGAGAGGTGCAGGTGCAGCCATAGTGACATTAGCACTCATGGATCGACGCATCCGCCGACAGCAGTGGCGGTCTCGCAAGTCACTTGTGCCACAATTCTGCAGCATGTGTAAGATATGCTGGATGTTCCCATGTCGACCAGAACCATTTCCCGTCGATTGGCTGAATGTGGCCTGCACTTATGGCGTCCGTTAAGAAGACTGCCATTGACCCCACAACATAGATGCCAACGTTTAGAATGGTGCCAGACTGGAGCGATGTGGATGACGGAATGGCGAAACATCGTGTTCTCAAATGAGTCATGCTTCTGTTTATCCAGTGACAGTCGCCGCATACGTGTGTGGCGTCGACGTGGAGACAGATCTAATCCGGCAGTAATTGTGGAACACCCCACTGCGCGACAGCATGGCATAATTGTCTGGGGCGCTATTGCCTACGATACCAGGCCACCTCTAGTTCGTATTCAGGGCACTATGACGGCCCGACGATACTTGGATAATGTACTGCGGCCGGTGGCAATCCCTACCTTCAGGTGCTGCCTAATGCAATTTTTCAGCAGGATAACATTCGATCACACAGTGCTCGCATCTACCAACATGCTCTGCGAGGTATACAGATGCTTCCATGGCCACCGTACGCTTCTGACCTGTCACCAATCGAACATGTGTGGGATATGATTGGACCCTATGTAGACTCCGCCCCTGCCTCATTCAGAAGAAGAACTGTGTGCAAATGGTTGAAAGGGAATGGAGAGCCATCCCTCAGGACACCATCCGCTCTCTTATTGACTCTGTGCCTAGACGTGTTTCTTTGTGCATCGCTGTCTGCGGTGGTCCTACGTCCTACTGATCCGACGCCGTTCTCGCTCTGTATTCTGACTATCATTTTGAAATAAAGATCAGCTATTGCTGCTTGCTGTCTCTGTTCTTTTTCCAAATTTCATCACTTTCTGACCACTCCTTCTTGGTGTTGCATTTTCAATGTCGAGCAGTGTATTTTATTTTCGCCAAAATTGCAAACCTTTACGTCACTACTGTAATTATCTTCATAGTTTCGATTGTGTTCTAATGAAAGTGCTCGAAGTTTTTAATTGCCTCTTGTGAGTTTTAATTACATCTTTTCACTAAAGTTTTATAATTTCACTTACATTTTAAATTCTTTGGATTATATGCTATTTGTTTAGAAATAGCATATAATAAGGTAAAATTTTTATTTGAATTTTTAGCTGAAGTATTTTATTATTTCACCTACGTTTTCATTCTTTATTTAAGGTAAAAGATTCTAATTAGAATTTACTTTGTTTTTCTCCCCTTGCTTCGGGGAGGGGGCAGAATTTTCGGATGAACTGTTATAGTTAAAATACATTGAAGTAGTTCATCGGCTAATTCTGGATACAGAAAAGCAAGAATTTTTGTGGAAGAGAGATTTCAATTGATTTTAATGTTCCTCCTCCTGACAAACCGGCATTGAAGTTGATTGAATTCCTCTCCTATTATGTTCGATTTTCTTTAATTTTTTTTAATTGGGTATTGCTTGTTTGAAACGTTTTGGTTTTAACATTTTTTAAATTCTTTATTGCATTTATAGGATTTATTAATTATGAATTTCAATTTTTTTGGTCTTTGCTAAAAGATAGTTTTAAATTTCTTCCTTTTATATCTTTACTAATAATTTTTCAGCAGCTTAATGTGCAAAAATACTAGGAATATTTATATTTTGATTTTTTTTTAATTATGATATACGTATACATATGTATAAGAGTATTACAAATTTTTATATTGAAAAAAATTTATACCAGTGTTATTTCTTCACAATATGCTACTAAAAATTAATCAATTATAGACAAAAATTAAAAAATTTAGAACCAACTCCACAAAGACGGGAAAGAAATGAAATTCAAAATTTTCAGCTAGAAAAGGAATTTAAAATTTTCAGGTGAACTTCCTTACATAAGTATTTTAGAATAGTCATCAGCTAATTCTGAAACATGGTTGTTTTCCAAGGAAAAAAAGAATTGAATTGTATCTGATCTACCTCCTCTTGATAATGTTGAATAAGATTTTGATTGTGTTACACTTCCTATACATTTTGTGATTTTTGTATTTTCCTTTTTGTTATTTTACTGGTTTGATGACTATTGGTTAATTTTTTACATACATGCGAAGAACACTGGATTTGATTAGTTTTGAATTTCAATATTTTTTTTGGGGGGGGGGTTCCCTAAATTTCTTACCTTTTGTCTATCTATCTATCTATATGCATATATCAGCAATGGCATTTTTATGTATTTAAAAGTTGTTCATTGTTCTTTTACATATTACTTGGTATGTTTTGCCAATCTTAATTATGCCATAAAGAAAAGGCTGGTCATTAGGTCAATTTTAGAGAGATTCAGGCTCACTAATATCTGACTTGATAAAATCATTTAAGATCTAAAGTAAATAAATTCTGTAGCATTGCCTTTTGAAAATAATTTTTGGCAACAATTCTTATGCATGTATTAATAAAATCATTTCCATGCTAAATTTAGTCCTTTATCTCTTCTGCCTTATAGTTTACTAAGCATAACTATATTTGAATCGAGGTAGATTCAATTCAACTTTTATCTCAGCAAACAAATTGCGGCCGCAAACAAGTTGGCACATTATTTATGCCTGTTCCAAAAAAGTTTTGATATTTTTGATAATTTGCAGTAAGAAAAAAAGGAACAGACAGACCACGGTCCAGCTAGGCCAAAGCGTAGAAAGCAAGTGTGTTATGTTGAGGGTGAAATCTTAATTCAGACTGAGTTAGTTTTGGTTCTCAGTGCTCTTTAATTGGTTAGTTAATACTGCTGCAGAATTACTATTGGCTGTTTTAGTTTCATTTACATCATCAGAATTATGTAAGAGTCATTTGACATGGGTTAATCTCAAAATGACGCAGTGCAAAGAGATTACTATTTTTAGAATAGAGAAGGGAAATTAATTTACACTGCTAATTTAATCTTTTACATATTCTTTATTTTTCTTGCATATCTGTGTGTATATAGATAGATATACTGTTTGATTAAAATTTATTTTTTAAGAAAAGTTTCCTGTTAAAAATATTTAATATCTTTTTTCTCCCTCAGGATCGATATTCTATATATAAACGGTTTCCATTATCTGATGATCCATTTCAAGAAGCTATGAAAAGTTTGGAAGTATTAAAAGCTAAAAGCAAAGTAAAGAGTGCCAAAAAAGTTAGATTCTATCTCGTACATGATGGTAAATTTTCCTACTCTTTTTTTTTTTTTTTTTCTTGTAAAGACAGCTGATATTAATATTTATCATAAAAGGCTGTTTTTCATCAGATATTATAAATTGTTATTATTATTTTCAATTACTGGTAGTTTGGCAAAATTATGATTTAAAATCAGTTAACTAGTATTTTTCTTTCCAAAACCGTTATTGAAAATGCAAGAGCAACACTGAATAAGTTGTTTTATCTAAAATGTATCTAGCATTCAAACTGCGTGAGAAACTTGGCAGTTTAGGCAAAAAAAGCAAGCTTGCTTTTTTTTGAAGCTTCCTTTATGTATTTTCAAACAAAAAATAAACTCTACTCTAAACATAATATTTAAAATAACATATATTTATGCGAAAAGGAATTTAGAAAATCTTAACAATAATAAATATGTTCTAAACCAAAGGAATAGTTGGCCCCTTTGTCCTAAACTACTTCATTTTTGCTAAAGTTCTAAATTTGTTTTTACTGGCTCTCAGCTTTTTCTTTTGCTTTTTTTGTAATACTTGGTGGAAGACTATAATTTTAGTACTTAATACAGTTTAATTACAATTTATATATACCCTGTTCACCAAAACGAAAGGATAATGACAGAAATAAAATGTAACTGATGCATAATGAAAATTATTAAACTTCTCTCTTCATCAGTTAGTTGTGCATTCTACAATATATCCATCACTTTTGTCAGTACGGGTGTTGCAATCCCTATCCCTTCAGGGGATCATCATCTTAATGATATGGGTGTCACGATACTGAAGCCCCAGTGATCTAGCTCCTTTCTTAGCCCCTCCTCTTAGCTCTTCCTTTCTCCTATTTTTCTTCCTTGTGGTTTCCTCTTTTAGAAGTTGAGGCTCGTCGTTAGAGGCTACTACACCTCTTGTTTCTAGCTTCAAGTGGTGAGAAACTGCCTATGTGTTTGCCATGCATGGAGGCCCATGTCACTGCAAAGAATGGTCCTGGTAGTTGAGGAGTGAGGTGCTGTCCCCAATGCACTGTTTTGGCCTCTGCTTCAGCTAAACGGGAGGCACCTTGTTGTCCTCACGGGTGTCAATCAGCTGGTCTCCTGACTTTTGTATGGGAAGCTTGGAGATAAGCTCTCGGGAATACCTCCTTTCGGAAATGCTGACTGTAGAGCTTCAGTTTGTGTATAGGTCCAGCTAGCCCTAACACAGGAATCTGTGTTTCCATGTTCGGCTTCATTGGTGGGTGTGGTGGTCAGATCTAAATCTTACCTCTTTTCATTGTGGCATTTTCAAATAATATCCAAACTACTTCTAAGGATATGTCTCAAAAGAGTTAAAAACTAATGCAAATGCTAATTCTGTTCAATCCAAGGTTCAGCTTTGTTTTGTTGTAATTAACAACCCAATAGGCAAACATAAAAAAAGGTCACCATTTTTAATCAACAAATATATTCAAGGAATTGCTGGAGAACCAAAGTTTATGAAATGGCTGTGATTCGGTGATCTTTTAATAGAAACCGTATCTCCTATTCAGGCTGTAACCCTTCTTGGGATAACCAAACTTGGGAACCTGGATGTTAGTGTTTCAGCACACAAAACACTAAATTATTATCCTGAAGTTATCCTGGAATTAGATATTCTGTCTGCCTCAGATGAAGAATTCATCTCGGAGCACTCCAATCAAACTGTCTTATGCTGCTAAGCAGATTAAGATATGTAAAGAGGGCCAGTTGATTGATACCAAACATGTTATCCTGATCTTCAATTTGCCTGATCTGCCCAAAAGTGTAAAGGCTGGGTATCTTCTCTTATGTGTCAGAGTGTACATTCCCAACCCTATGCGATGTTTCCAGTGCCAACAGTTTGGCCACTCAAAAATGTCTTGTAAGCCCATGGTGCACATTGCTCCATGGAGAGCCTCAACAGTGATAACTGCAGTGCTGTGCAACTGTGTGTCAATTGCAAGGAAGGAGGAGCACACAGCATTTTACATTCATGTCCAAAATGAAAAGCTGAGAAGGAAGCACTGTCACTAAAAGTTACAAACAACATCGCCTATGTCCTTACATAGATGATGGTAAAACAGAATATCATCGATGCAGAGGCTGCTAGAAAAATTATTGTTAGTACATAGCCATGTTTGAATGTAGCTTTTACTGATGCTGCCATAAAATCCACTGGAATACAAACCAATCTGACCTTTGGATGCAGAAAAGAAAGTAATTAATCAGAAAATTCAGATAAGAAGAAACCAACACAAACTAATGCAACTAAAAATAGACCAGCACATATTATTTCAATTAAAAGCATATTAAGTCAAAAAATACAACTAAGGAAAACCAATCTAACACACACACACACACACACACCAAAAAAAAAAAAAAAAAAAAAAAAACAGGCTGACAGTCAAAGCATTATACCTGGGAGTCACTGCATTCTCAAAAATATGAGCTCGGATTGTGTTGATATGGAAGTTGAGGTGGTATTGAAACTTCCAAAAAGTCTCCTTCCATGACAAACAAAGATGCAGTGCCATGTTTTAACATTCATAATAGTGCCCTTATCTCATGGAATTGCCATGTTTCCACCAGGGTCTCTTGAATATCAAGAACATGATCGATGCTTATCAACCAGTAGGCTTCACTTTGCAGGAAACTTTTTAAAAGCTGAATAACCAAGTCAGGCTTAGGCAGTATTCTTTTAGGAGAAAGGACAGTGTTGTAAGTTAATGTGTCTGTGCAGATGTAGGCCTTCTCACCTCACATGACGATCCATCATTTGTCTTTCTGTTAGCAACCTCCCTTCATACAGCTGCTATATTAGTTATTATTAAAGGATTAGTTTCTGTTTCAGTGTATTTACCTTACATACACTGAATAAATGAAGCTATCGATCAGAAAAAGTTGGATGATTTGGCAGAGCAGCTGCCTGCGCCGTTTATTATTATTGAAGTCTTTAATGGACATAGTCTGCTTTGGGGAAGTAGAAATACAAATTCTGGAGGTAAACAAATTGAGCAAATGATTGAAGATCATCATCTTTGTCTCCTCAATAATGGTCAGCACACCTACTTCCATCAGCCAACAAGGACGTTTCATGCTATTGATCTTGCCATCTGTTCTCCATCTTTATTGCCTTAATGTAGATCTTACATTTAATGTAGATGATTCCCACAACAGTGATCATTTCCCTATATTTCTAACTTTTGCAAGAGTAGGAAGGAATCTCGTTGTAAGACCCTCACATTTTATATTTTAAAGGGCTGACTGGGAGCTATTTTTCTCACTTCTGAAGCTTACAAAAGAAATTGTGAAAGATGTGCTGATTGATGATGCAGTGAAAGCCATTACTGACATCAACATCTAAGCAGCTACAGGCTCTATAACTCTGACCTCGCCGAAGCCTTTAAAATATTCAAAACCATGATGGAACCATGAATGCCAAGAAACTCTGAGACAGCAGAGAAAAGCATGGGGACATTTTCAAAGATATTCCACTCTATCAAATCTTATTGCTTTCTAAAAAGACGAAGCAAATGCATGAATAGTACGACGGTCGAGTAAGAGGGATTCTTAGATATCCTATATGTCTGGAATAACATCCTCAACACCCAGTAAACAAATATGTCAAAGAGTTAGAAAAAGCATGGGAAATGTACCAAGATTACTCACTTTCTGTCTTGAAAAAAGATGGCCGAGCGATGAGCACTGTGGAAGAAATTGCAAATATTCTTGGTGAAACATTCACAGCCATCTCTAATGGTCACAGTTATTCCCCATTTCTGTCTGCTAATCTGTGTACTGAAAATATTCCAGTTAAGTTCAACTCTGCCAACTCGAAGCCTTACAAATGTGAATTTTCCCAGCTTGAATTAAGAAGAGCTTTGATACAGACACATTGGTTATGTCTGGGTCCAGATGGTGCTGTTAGTTACGAAATGCCGAAGCATCTCTTATGTATGTCACTGAATGCCCTTCTAACTTTGTATGATCAAGTGCAGAAGGAGCATAACTTCCCCAGTGCATGGAAGAAAACTGTTGTTATTCCTATACCTAAGCCAGGGAAAGATTTGAAGAATCCCACAACTACAGACTGATTGCCCTTACAAGTTGTATTTGCCAGCTTTTTAAAAAAATGGTGAATTGCCACTTAGTCTATTACAGTACAAAATCCAAGATCTTGACTCATCGGGACTTTTATTCTGGATTCGAGATTTTTCTGGATATTAGATCATCAGTTTAAATATTTAGTAAGACGACGTGTAGAAATTATAAAATTAAAAATATGAAATCGTGATTTATGAAATAATGAAACATTTAAGATCTAAAGGGTATCAAAATTTACAAAAAAAAAATTGCATAAAAATATGTGCACTTAATTTTTAAGTTCATTTCTTCATGAAATATTTTGGCTTGAACCATTAGCATTGGACCTGTCAGTGACATGCCCTCGCTGCATCTCTGTTTGACCATTTAATCATCACTTTGTCATAATCGCCACTTTTAGCATAGCGAATAATTTTTCTGTTGTTCATTGCAAGGCGGGTACTGGAATCCACAAAAAATTCATAAAGTTCTTTTTTCTGTTATGTCATATACAGTTGTCTTCCTAATGCCATATTCCTTGCATACTTTTGAGACAGATATACTATATCCATGTTTTGCAGCAATTCCAGATTTTGTTTAATGGACATCGAAACATGCTTTCACTTTGAAAAAAATAGAGAAAATTACTTGGAAAAAAGTGGAGTTTAATAACACATAATAAATGAAAATTCTGTGTCTTTTTGTGATATGCTGCTATCTACTGTTTAAAAAGAAAGGTTCAAAGTATATTATAAAGGCATTTTTATCTATTTACGGTTGAATTTAAAGGTTTCAGAAGCGATTCAATTTTGGTGTTCCATGTAGTGGAACACTGAGCCGCAAAGGGTTAATGGACACAGTCTGGAGAGTAATGCAGAGTGGCGTCCAGATGAGTTTACCTTCCAGCTGTTGAGGTAAATCTTTCCAGATGAT